ATTATGTTTCCAGTTGCTACTAAAGTCTATTGTTTCTCTTTCACTTCTAGTAGACCCTTGTTTGCTAGTGGCGTCATCGCGTTGTTTGGGGTGAATTGATAACATACGCCAATATCACTGCTTTTGTGTAGTCTCGAAAATATCTGATGGAACTACAATCTTCCCCTTGGTTTATCCTTGAATATTTAGACGCAATAAACACAACAATTAGATTTTCCGGTCGTACCAACTTGTTCCCATCACAACAGACGCTTCCTTGTCAGCTCGTAATAAAGTTACGCCAAAAACGCTAATTGTTCGTTTGCTGACAGAATGAGGCAACATGTTAGTCTGCTTGATTTAGAGTGAATATAATTTGTACTCGGAAAAATGTTACCAAGACATGCTTTGTATCATTGGAAGCGGGGTTTTATCAACGCTGGAAATTTTTGACGGCCGTTCTTTTCAGGGCAGGACTTTCTTTGCAAAGAATAGTCATTATAAGGTGAAACATGGTTCTTAGCCACTTGAGTAGTCTCCACTTGTAAGTGGCTTTCATTCACTGTTCCTTTTGAGTGTGTCTTACGAGTTATACGAACATTATGATATCAATTTCTAATGTTTTATACTTGAAGTTGTGTAATAAAATCTCTAACTGCATCATATACTTGTAGATCTGTTAATATCAGCAAATAGATGACATTTAAGAGACATAGACTTATTTGAACATGGCTTTATTTGGACTGTTCTCAATCAGTGAAGCGAACAACAAGCCAAGAGTTAACACGTAAGGGGGAATAACCCACAGTGAATGGTAAGGAATACAGCCATTTTGTTTAATGTCTGCATTTTGAATTTTCACTTTGAAAGCTGGTGATGAAAATGTTTCATGTATTATTTCTGTTACCAACAAATGTGTTTTGGTGTTGTTCGGGTTCTAATAGGAATGCTGTTCTTCAATACAATTTTAAGAAATCTTAATATGCACATTGCTTTTGTGTTCCTAATTGCTCGATTCACGTGAAGATGAAATAGACGCGACAATTCTTGGACGCTACAAGATGTTTAGTAGCATATATGTACTTACAAGAAATGGAAAGTAATTCTTTGATATTTATAAGTGGTTCACATCCATGTACTTACAAGTTATACATAAATACATTTATATAATCTTTCTTAGGATAGGAATTAGGTTGAGGATTGTTTAAATGAGTTCTTCATAACGTGACATCTCCTTCCGTTAAGGAAACGAGTGACTTTTATGAAAACATGACTTAAATCATTTATGAGTTAAATCTAGAAGGCTTGGGTTTCTTAAACAAGTCTTAAATCTTCAGCTTTTTAAATGTATCGTTTTTGTTTTCCAGATATTCGAACTGCACTTTAAACGTGATTTTCTCAATGTTCCTCCAGTGTTTAATACTGCGTTTGTCATGGGAAAAATCGTCATGGGATAGCCAAATTCGATGAGAACTTGTGTGCAATTTGCAGAATATCCTTTCGAAACGGAAGCTGATCAGATAAAAGTTACACACCTCATCTAGTTCAGTGACCATGGCAGAGATGAGCTCCATGAATACAATATCCAGCGAAACATTACTACTCCTGGCCAAGTTCTTGTTTATGATGACTATCGTCACCAGTCTGTTGATGTTAAACGCCTACGAAAGTAAGATGAACAACCAGAATCTTTCAACCCAAAGAAATTCCGTTCTAGAACTACTACATTTCATTTGGAATGAAAATTGTTTTTTCTGCACATATTCTGTTTTATTTGAAAAGAGGCATCCTGATAGAAATAAAGATTTGCTCATTGTTCGGACTTTATCATTTCGTTATGATATGCTTTTAAAATGTCATGAGCGCAGAGATGCATAGTCAAAGCGAGTTTCGTCTGGAGAACTTATTGCTGCGTATTATGATCGTTTTTGCTCTAGTAAGGACTTTGTTTCTTCTAGTAGAAAACGCAGATATAGTGGTCGTCGAAGGGAGACCGCCGTGTTGACAATATGTAACAAATTATGTCCTTGGTTTGAAGAGTACGTCGAGTTGTACACACTCATTAGGCTGTATGAGCGAATTGTGGAAATTGCTGGTAACGGGACCGAGGATACATATTCAGTAAAAAATCTGAAGCAAAAACTTCAAAAAAGTTATAAGGACCGTCTATTTTTGTAGAGGTGAGTGGAAGAAAAAAATTAGTTTGCATCCGTAACATAGATATTCACATTGTCAATGGAAAATGGTATGAAAGGAAAATGAGAGAATACTGAAGATGAGTCTTCAAGAATTGTCATGGGAAGTGCCAAAATCATGAGAGCCCAGATTAGGGAGATGTTCTGTAACATGGACTCTTATCCAACAAACAATGACATGTCATCAATAATAAATGTCAGTAGTTTCTTCCAATGGTGCTGCCATCAATTTCTGAAGACCATCATCAAGACAGCCATTCAAGTCAGTGGTTTGTTGAGACATGCAGTTTGTGTTACCACACTTGCTGTTTATGTTAGGTGGAACT